CCCTCTTCCCTCCCTAATCCTTCCCCTCACAGAGTCACTCAGCATTACCCAAGGTTAACCACAACATATTAGCAGCCACAGGTTTGAAAAAATAATTCAGGGATGAAAATAAGAGCTTTGGAAGAAGAGAAGTGAGAGGAGGTAGAAGATGAGGGAGGAACACACAGCAATATTCTGCTCCTACTGCTTGAAGCAAAGTTGGCTTTATAACCAGGGCCACCCAGTTTGGGGTGTGTAATGAGTAGGAAGTGGGATGTGATGGGTCTAAGTGTACATCCAAGCAGCTCACTCATGGCTGATATATGCCTAGAAGAACACGGAGACAACCCAATAAGCATGTCCTGGGGACATCCCAGGTGGAGAGGACCTGTTCAGCCACAGGAACAAATGGCATCTTTCAAAGGGATAAGGACAGCAATGAGTGTTGTGCCACAAACCCTTCCCAAAGTTGATACCATCTGTAGTGAAAGCTCATGTTTTGGTGTGAAGGTCACTAGTATCCTCTTTTTATAAAAACTCTTGGGTCTCCTAGAGAGGGCCTTGGATAGCTGGGCCATCAAGGATATTGTTTAAGCTATGGATGCTTGGAGTGTTTCTCTAATGGCTGATGCTTGGCAATGTGGAAAGCTCTTGCAGTTTTTCCAGCTCTCCTCCTCCCAGAAGTCCACCTTTCTCCTTGGCCAGTGCTAATGGAAGCAACTGATTCAGTCACATGACCAAGTGCTCATCTGTGAGTCTGGACGGTAGCTGTCCTTTCACAACAGTTCATGAACTCATTTTGGAAAGAACAGGAATTGTATCACATATATCCCAATTCATACTTCATCCTTCCACAATGACCTTCCACTCTCCCCTGTGGGAAGAAATTCCATCTCTTCTCCAAGCCAGCTGATTTCAAGCCAGGCTAGAAACCAGGCATTGTGTTTTCCTGCAGTAAAGCTCTAGGATAAACAACAGTCCTCCTGAAAATGAAGATTAGTTTCCTGACAAAGGTATCCAGGTTCCCCCATCTGGACAACTTCACCTTTAATCATCATCTCAGTAGAACAATTAGTAGCATCTGTGCTTTACAAATGGAGACAGCTAAGAGTTAGCAGATGCGTTCACCACAAAAGTCCTTTTTCAAGGCAAAGAACAACAATAATCAGATAGGAAAGAGCCACCAGCATGGTCTGAACCATCCACACAAGGTCTCAGCCCAGCCAGCACACTGGCTTACCTCAGTACAACATCAGCTTGTACTCCATATATCTTCTGCTCCACTGCTTTCTGGAAGGACATCAGTGTGTTTTCTGGGGCCAACTATGGAGGGAAAAAAAAAAAAGAGCAATGAGAGATCATTAGTAAGTGGAAATGTTTACAAAATGGTGCCAGTGAGGTTTAGAAATATTAGGGAGCCAAAACAATCTTGTTTGGCAGATTAAGCACTGGTCAGTTACACTGGTATACCAGTGTTGCATCTTACTGAAGTCTGAAGATGACCAATGCATTTCCCTTTACTGATGGTCTTTCACACACAGGATAGAGTTCAATGCAGAGTTATGGTGGCCTGCAATGCCAGAAACCCATCCAGCTTGGGATATGGTGCAAAACCAGTGCAGGAAAGATTTGCTCACCAGCATGGTCCCCCAAACAGTGGCTTGCTGAAGACTCCCAGCAAGGGGTTGTTGATGTGATACCAGTTCTCCGTTCATGGTTTACATGGAGAGCTACCTAAACCACCTTAACAGTCCTTCATTCTCCTACTTGTCTCTACAAACAGTGATTACAATGCTATTAGAGAAAGACCATCAACCAGAGTGTTACCCATGCCATGGAGAATAACTAGGCCATGGGTTCTATAGCAGACATTTTATTTCCACATCTACTCATTCAATAAAGTCATCTATTACTCAGCCTAAAAATCAGTTGAGTTCTCTAATAACAGATGTTCTAGTTAGTTTTAACAACATAAAAGAAGTTTTAAGCCTAGAAAATGTATCCAAATGACTACCACAGATAAGGACTCAAATTTTATTTCAAATTCATTCCTGTTGAATGAAGCAGATGATAACAGAACTTGGGTTTATGTAAAAAAAAAAAATACAGCATGAAGATAAATACTTTGGTTTTCTACAAAACCAGTATAGTGAGGCTGAAGTGTCCATAAACCAACAACACACAGACCAGAGGGGGAAAAAACAGACAACTGTGGAGAGAAAATCTGGCAAAATTTCTGTACTGAAATTTGAGCACATCAAAATAGAGTTATTTTTTAAAATAATTTTTTTTCCCAATTTTGCTTACAGGTTTCAAGCACCTGTAGTGTCTGTTTTTTCACTCATCTCTGCTACCATTTAGATCAGCAAGTTTCCATCAAGACACAATGAGCACCCATGATTTTCGAGAATTAGGAATTGAAAAGAAGAATTAAGAACAAAGGCCTAAATGCACCACACAAGCAAGATGCACAATAAATACAAAAACCTGCTCAAAAGCTTAAGGTTTCTCTAAGAATCATTTGTTTTCCTACAAGCCGATCACCTTACATGCTCAGGTCAGCAAAGCTTTGGCATAAAATAGTCAGGCCAAACATCAACAGCAACCTTCACATAGCTCCAGTATCTATCTACTCAAATTCCTCTGGCTCAAGCCAAGCATCAATCCTAGTTCATTTTTATGTTTCTTCCAAGTCAACAGAGGCACATCATCTTCTAAAAAAGCTCCCAATTTAAGCCTGACTTGTCTAGGAGAAGACAAAGGCATCACACCCTCTTGCATAGTCCAACACCGGGTCACACAAGGTCGGGCTGAAAGCTTCTTGCAACGTCTGCACGGTTCCCAGAGCTGTCAGCAGAGAGCAGCAGACACAAAGATCTGATCTAGCAACTTGCTCTAGTTGCAGATGACCCTGCTCGCCGCAGGGGGGTTGAACCAGATGACCTCTAAAGGTCCCTTTCAGCCCAGCCCATTCTGTGATCTGAAAATCTCTATACAGACTTGCTCCATCTCCTTGGGTTGCTCTCAGCATCTTGGGTTTCCCCTCCCAAGTAGCTCAGGTTCCCTAAGGATACCACTGCAAGGTGATTCCTTCTCCACAGGGCAATGCTCAATATTTGCTTTTGGAGACAGCAGCAATCACAGTGAAATAAAGTGAGCAGTCCTCAAACCAGACAGCTGAGCAAGAGAAACCAAAGACTGATGCAAGACCATCAGCCTGTCAGGAAGGGTTGCTCAGTAGATGCAGTGCAAGTCTCAGCTCAGAATATGACACCACATCAAGCAACAACTGCACCTGCACCCCTGCAAGTAGTCTCACCAGGGATGAGGACATACAAGGAATAGAAAAGCAAAGGATGCTGAGCCGTGAATCATCTCTGAGGCTAAGGGAGACTGGGAAGGGCAGGCTGGATGACCTCAATCAAGGGAAAACCCTTTGACTAGGATTGGACAACACAGCTCTTACCCACCCACACAATGAAGAGCTCACATTGCATGAATCAGGGCTAATGAAAGCAAACAAGTGTGGCTACAACAGAATTCCACCTCCATAGAGGTGGACCAGCATGACTAAGGTCTTCTCGTGTCTTACCTGTGCACCAAGCTCTGGCACAGCAGAATCCCAGCCCAGAGAGGGCACAGGCTCTGTTCTCTGATAAGACTGAAAATGCTTCTTTCTTGCCTCTTTTCAGGGTATTTCAGTTTCTGCAGGGCTGGGGTCAAGCCTTGCTTGGAGACCAGCTCTCCTGAGATACAGTTGGAAAACGGAACCTAAATGACAGGGGATGCCCAGCCTCTACTGCTGGAGGAAGGAAATACAGACCCAAACAGATCTGAAGTGGCAAGTCAATGCATGGGAGAGTCTCCATCAGCTGAACTGGGGAAAAGTAAATTTAGAGAAAGCTGAGACTGAACACATAGGTGCTAGATAAAAGCCAAACAGGAAAACAGCCTTTTGGGGATAGGATTTCCATTGGCCAGACTGGATAAATTTGGCCATGTGAAGATAATAGTGATGTTCATGCTATAACATGGGTTGCAGTGAGCTAAAAACTGAGGTTTTAATTGAGTTTTAACACTCAGTGCACTGTGATTGTCCCATCCTCAGCACTCAGACAGCTGCCACTGAGTTTAAGCCTGTGGAGTGATGATCCTAGCCCTAGCAGCGGATTAACCCACTTCTGCCTCATCTGTAACCCCTACAGAACTTGCAGACCAAGCTTCACTCTTCGAGATGGGCAAAATTTAACTTCACTCCACCATGGGTGCATGTGGCTGCTCAGATGTGAGGTATATTCATTCCTTTCCCAGGAACTTGACCCTAAATGCAGGTTAAAGACTGACAAACCTCTGGCCAAATCGGTCGTGAAAATACAGCTGTGCAGAGGAAACCACATTTTAAAACTGCTTTAGGAACAGACCATCACTTAAGGTCTGACCATCCAAACATGCACTTTGGAGCTGTAACGTCATCTTCATCTCAGCACCACTAGAAGTGAAGAGCATCCTCTTGAAGAGCATCACGGGTGGATGAACATCTCTGGCTGCTCTGAATCCTGGACATCAGTAGAGGTCCTTTCCATGACTCCGTGCCCCACGATGGCACGTGCTGGGCAGTCTCTGTAACACCACAATGCTGTTACTTGGCAGCCTGATGCCTTGTATGTAAGAAGCTTTTGAAAAGTAGATTATAAGCCTTCCAGGAAAAGACGTCATCTTCTTGTGAGCATGTGGTGGGTAAGCTCCTGACCTGGCCAGAGCCACTCACCCAGATCTAAATAATTGCATCTCCAGATGAGTCCATCCTGAGTGCAGAAAGCTGTCCTCCCAGTTTCTAAACCTCTCAGTCAATCCCAGCCTTGAGGGGACTGAACAAGCCACTCAGGCTGATGACACAATCCACTAAAGGTCAACCAGAATGCTAGGAAAGCAAATTTAACCCTGTCCCATAAACTCAGATGCTGCCTGTTACAAGAAGATCCCCTGGCACTGCTTTGGAGGCAGAATGTGTCTGTACCAGGAGTTCATAACCCTTCACAACATTACTGGTTTTGTGAAGAGAGAGAATCTGAGTAACAGGTATTTCCATCATCCTAGTATCTGTCTCCCTCGGAGAAAGAGGGACCTGAAGCCCCAAGTTCGTAGGCCTTGTGCTTGTATTTCTCTGTCTCCTTCCACTTTCTTCAATGGTTTTTCCTCCTTGATACAATATATTTGGTCTCTAAAACCCAAATCCAGGTTGCAATGATCCAATTCAACTGGATACAGCCAATTTCTTGAGAAAACAGTGCTGAAGTGAAGGAAGCTCTGGGGCATAAAGCAGTGATTTCATTCCAAAACTTCCGTCCTATATAGACAATGCCAACATCCACTGAAAAAGACAAATCCTGGCAAAATCTACTTATCCCTTGTAAAAATCAGGCTACTATTTATTTCTTCCTGCCACAGAGATAGAGCAAGCAATTTCTAGAAAATTACCCATAGATTAATTCAATTTGACTATTTTTGTGCTCAAAATCAAAGAATGGTTTGGATTGGAAGGGATCTTAAAACTCACCTTGTTCCAACCCCCCTGCCAAGGCCCAAAGGCCCATTCAACCTGGCCTTGAACACTTCCAAGGACAAGCCATCCACAGCCTCTCTGGGCAACCTGTGCAGTGTCTCCACACCCTCATGATGAAGAATTTGTTCCTAGTAGCTAATCTAAATCTACCCTCTGTGTTTTAAATTGTTGCCTCGGATCCTATCACCACCCTCCCTGACACAGAGTCCCTCCTCAGCTTTCCTGTAGATCCCCCTTTAAATACTGGATGGACACAATAAGGTCTTGCAGGAGCTAGCAGGTTGAGGGAAAGGATTTTCTCCTTTTACTGTGGTCTAGTGAGACGCCCCTGCAGTGCTGGGGCAGCTCTGGAGTCCTCAGCACAGCAGAGACAGGGACCTGCTGGAGCGGGGCCAGAGGAGCCCCAGCAAGGACCCGAGGGGGGAACCCCTCTGCTGGGAGCCCAGCAGGAGAGAGTTGGGCTTGGGCAGCCTGCAGAGGAGAAGGCTCTGGGGTGGCTATTGACTTCAGAAGTTAATTGCAAATGCTTTCAAATGGAGTAAAGAGCTTTGGACCTTCCTTAATGAAGATGATGAAAGTATGCTAGTAAGAGCAGTGCAGCCTTGCTACAGTTCAACATCACTACGTTTTGTTTTTCCTCTAGTTGACAGTCTTGCCAGGTCTTCAAAAAAAAAAAAAGTTTAAAAGAACAAAAAACATTCATTCTTTCTTTGTTGGGGAGGCTAACAAAGAAGCTTGCACAGAACAACCAAATTTGTTC